AGGGAGCATGGGCATCTGCCTGTTCTCGCACTGCTTAGGGCTCAGAGCAGTAAATGACTTGAGTGACAGAAGCTGACAGGGTGATGTGAATATTTAAGCCCTCAATTATTTTAAATTGGGGGTAATCATGGCAAGTTTTCTTTTGAAGAATCCAAATCTTTGTTTTGACTCTGCTTCAGTATATAACCCTGAGCTTAATGTGTTCATTAAAGTTCTATATTCCCCCCAAGAATTGACTTCTAGAGTAATAACACTGGAAAAATCAAAGTAAGTAGAATGCTTTGCTGTAGGACCTTGCAGTATGATTAATGCTAATATGCATTGGGAATCCCCAATAATCATTTCTCAAACTTACTTGACCCTGCAGGCCCCTTTTCACAGAGCATTTGGTTTCTGTGAACTTCAGGAAAAGCTGTTTCTATTTCACTTTCTCCATCTCTAAGGAAGGCCTAGACTTACCTGCTTTGAGAGCTTGCTTCTTTGTGAAGCACAATCTAGATGGGTATTTGAAAATCACTACATAAATTATTTTAAAATATCAGTTATAGATAATATGTAAAGATATTCTGATGAAGATTCTTCAGTGATTGAGAGTAAAATATTGCTCTACCTTCTAAAAACCCACTTCGAGGATGCCACAGCCTATGTCTTCACTTAAGTTTTTTTCTCTCTGTTGTACACCAGTGCTTGAGTTACTGAGCATGTGCATGTGCATTTTGTATCTGTTTTGAAAGTGAAAGTTGCTCAGTTATGTCCGACTCTTTGCAATCCCAAGGACTTCTCCAGGCCAGAATACTGGAGTGGGTTGCCTATCCCTTCTCCAGCAGATCTTCCCAACCCAGGAATTGAATCAGGGTCTCTTGCGTTGCAGGCGGATTCTTTACCAACTGAGCTATCAGGAAAGCCCTCTGTGTTGAAAGGCAACATTTATGTACCACATTGAGCCATACCAGGACATGTGAGATCGTTTTCTTCCATTGTCTTCCTTAAATACATATTTTTAGTCATTTATCTTAGTTTCAGAGATTTTTGAAAAAGAAAAAAAAAATTGTTCTCTTTGAATTCCTGAAACTGAAGCAGTGGAGCAGCTATGACCATCGCAGTCATTTTCTTTGCCTTAATTTTTCATGCTTATATTTTCTCATGTCTTTCTCTGGCTCAGCATTTTGAATATCTTCTTGGGCAGAATCAACGCACCATCTAATATGTTTGTATTTTGTATCTTTTCTCTTCCCTAGATCTTGCTGATAGTCTTCCATCTCCTTTTCTCCATGCTTGTGATTTTGGTTTTGAGTTCTTGAAATAGACTTATTAATGTAAGAACAGAAATATCAATAAGGACAGAAAAATAGATCTTTATTAAAGTGACTTCCATAGTATCCATTTCTCATTCATCTTTTTTCTTTCAGTTTTTTTCTTTTGATATTCTTGGGCATCTATGACTAAAAGAAAAAAGTTTGGGAGGAAAAAGAGGCTGCTTAATTTAAGGAAATTAGTAAAAGTTAAAATATTATTTTTAAAATGTGTTTTACTAATTTGGTGAAATTACATAGATCACATAGATCATGTTTATAGAGGATTTTCTCTGTTTCTATGTGACTTCACTCATATTTCTTTAGCATTGTGTAATTTTTAAAAGTCCAGTGAAAAGCTCTTTTTAACCCATTTGAAGTTAGCAGTTGTGGTTACTGCTACCTAAACTCTTAGAAGTTGACTGAGAGGAAAGCTGAGGGTTTCTTTTCCCCTTGCCTACATTATTGAGATGAAATTTTAACAAATGCTACCAAGAAATTAAAGTGTAAAATATGGAACTACAAAGTATATTTCCTTACACACATATATTTATATACGTATGTATGTGTATACTTATGTGTTAATGCATATGTATACATGTAAATATGTATACACATATGTATACATATAAATATGTCAGTTTAGACTTGATTCTGAAGTCAAAGGAGATTTTATATCAGAAAGCAGGAATGTTGACTGTTTCTTTCACACTTAACTTACAGGTAAATTCTTGTAAAAATTGTAGTTTAGTTCAGTCGCTCAGTCGTGTCCGACTCTTTGCGACCCCATGAACTACAGCATGCCAGGCCTCCCTGTCCATCACAAACTCCCGGAGTTTACTCAGACTCATGTCCATTGAGTCGCTGATGCCATCCAGCCATCTCATCCTCTGTCATCCCCTTCTCTTCCTGCCCCCAATCCCTCCCAGCATCAGGATCTTTTCTAATGAGTAAACTCTTCACATAAGGTGACCAAAGTATTGGAGTTTCAGCTTCAGCATCAGTCCTTCCAATGAACACCCAGGACTGATATCCTTTAGGATGGACTGGTTGGATCTCCTTGCAGTCCAAGGGCCTCTCAAGAGTCTTCTCCAACACCACAGTTCAAAAGCATCAATTTTTCGGCGCTCAGCTTTCTTCCCAGTCCAGCTCTCACATCCATACATGACCACTGGAAAAACCATAGCCTTGACTAGACGGACCTTTGTTGGCAAAGTAATATCTCTGCTTTTTAATATGCTATCTAGGTTGGTCATAACTTTCCTTCCAAGGAGTAAGCGTCTTTTAATTTCATGGCTGCAATCACCATCTGCAAAATGCTGAAAAATTTGTATCTCAGTAAAGAGCAGAAATCTACATTAATGTTTTAATAGATTAATGATTAATGTTTTAATAGATATCTTTATGTTTTAAAGAAATAACATAGTCTTAAGACTTTCATGGGCAGTAAATAAAATAGTTAATAGTGGGTATATTTGGGTGATGAGATTGGGGTGGACATCATAATTATCTGTGTGACTTTTCAAGTTTTCTGTAATGAGCATGTTTTAATTTTATAGTCAGAAAAAATGTTGACTTAAAGTGACTCTCATTTATTTATAAAGGCTCTTATGAACTTGCAAAAGTTCTTTTTCAATAGCCTTTTCATTATTGCTGCTCTTTTTATCTACAGAGTTACCATAGCTTAGAATTCAAATGAATCACTAAGAAGGACTCCCTACATTTATCAGCTTGGCCTGCTATAAGAAAATACCACAGGCTAGGTGGCTTAAAAAACAGAAATTTATTTTCTTGCAGTTCTGGAGGCTGGGAGTCTGAGATCAGGGTGCCAGTATGGTTGGATTCCTGTGAGAATCCTGGCTTTCAGTCACCCTCTTGCCCTTTTCTCACATGGCAGAGAGAGAAAACAAGCTCTCCAGTATCTCTTCTTATGAGGGTGCTAATCCCATCATGAGGGTTCCATACTCATGACTGCATCTAATCCTGATTACCTCCCAAAGGCCTCCTCTCCAAATATAATCACATTAGGGATTAGAGCTTCAACATATAAATTTTGGAGGCACCTAGATATTTAGTCTCTAACATTCTCCTCACTCAAGTTGGCAGTATATAAGATGACCAGGTATGCATCTAATATTGAAAGAGACTTGCAGGCTATAAATAAAAACATGATAGTTATCACTGGATGATAGAAATAGAGGGAGTTTTCTCCATTTTTTGTGAATTTCAAGTATAGTACTTTTATAACTGAAAGGATACAATAAACACTATTTTAAAAGGAAGATGAAATACTACAGAATGGAATGTAATATTCCATAATAATGTTGCAAGTTTCAAAATCATTTTTTTCATCTTCTTGGGTTTTTTTTAAGATTTAATAAGTGTCTTCAGCACTTAGAGCAACCAGGTATGGGAACACAGTGGAGCTCAGTAAGCTGCTGCTGCTGGTTCTCATTTTTCTACTTTTAACAGTGATGGCAATGTTCATGATAATGAAACATGCCATTGGGCATATAATATAGGAAAGTAAAATAGAAAGTAGCTACAAAATCAGGATAGACATAATTGTTAAAGTTTTTTTCTGAGTTGTTATAAATAGAATAGCCCATTCATTGTCTTTACTTTTAGAACTCTTTAGTCTCTTAGATTCTAAAAAAATGAATTGGTAAAAAAAATGAGTTAGTGGCTCATTTTTCATTAACTTCCAATTGCAAATATAATATAACCTCCTTGAATCTGCACAATAAAATGTCAGGGAGATGGTGACAGTGAGAAAACTTGACATCAAACTTCCAGTGTGTTTCATTCCAAGCACTGATTTGAGTTTAATACCTGAGGCGGAGGAACTGTTTTTCCCTCTCTGATGCATCTCCTGTCTCCTCTCCTCTCTTTCTAATGCATCATTTCTTATTATGCCCCACCTTGTGTGTAAAATCTGTCATTTCCTTCTATAAAAAAAATTGTCTATGATTTGTCCTCAACCCCACATTTGAGTGTAATATTTCGAGTTTTTTTTTTTTTTAACTCTGTAAATCAGTAGGTTAGAAATGCCCTTCAGGATAGTGATTGTTTTTTTTTGGTCACACAGGAAGCTGTCTGCTTGCCAAGTGGATCATGATGTGATGTATTATTTCCAGTTGCTGTAAATTTTCAATATTCAGTGTGTCGGTCATACTAGGTCATGATTCAGTTATTTAATTTCACTTATGTCTGTATTTTAGATGAGAATCCTTTCCCCCATTAGTAGATTTTAATTTCCTTCTCTTTCACAGTCAAATTCCAAGCATACCTTATAAAACTAGCCACAAAATACACACATGAACAAACCGTTTTTGTGTGTACAAGTAGACTCAAAAATATTCACTGGTAAACTATCTCTGAAGTTATAAATTTGTCTTCTTAAATGTCATTTTTGTTTTTAACACTTTAGATCACTTTTATCAGCATCTCTTTAGTAATTTGATTCCTAGATATGCAACAAACATATCTAGGTAACTCTCTGTCTTATATTGACATAAACTGTTTATGAGCTTAAAAAATAATCTCACAAGTGATCTTCAGAGGTGAAAAAAAGTAAATTGTTCTGAATTCAGGGCTGTATCTACACCATAGTTAATGTATTACTATCAAATAAATTGCTTTCTGAAATTGTTTTGATAATATTGAAAAAGCAATTTTCTTTCCCTTTTTTTTTTTTTTAACCAACAGGACACAAAAATCGCTTCATTGGAGCGAAACATAAGGGATCTTGAGGATGAGATCCAGATGTTAAAAGCCAATGGTGTGTTGAACACTGAGGACCGTGAAGAAGAGATAAAACAAATAGAGGTTTACAAAAGTCACTCCAAGTTCATGAAAACCAAGGTATGGTCCAAAGTTATAAACTTTTATATTCTTAATGTGACTGGAAAGTTATGGTTTATATACATGCTTTCCCCCAAATACCCACATAACCTGCTTTATGTGATATATGAAATATATCGACAATGAAGAATGAGGAAGATTTTTAGTTCAAAAGTGTAGATTCCAGAAAAATCAGGTAAAACTTTTGGTGGAATTTCTACTTACTAAGGGGTTCAGGATTTTCTAATGAGTTCCTTTGGTATCCCTCTGTCTTGGGAATTAACATTTATTTTTAATAGTCTTTGCTCTCCAAATTTCCTGAGATTTCATAAGTTTGCTATTTTTAAAAGTTTCTGACCCATCCCTGGAAGGTGATGGTCTTAAAAGGTGTTAATCTTGGAAGCCAATTTAATTGATTTCAATGGTATGAAGATATTTTGGTTTTAATGTAGTATTTGACAGGACTGATTTGAGTCCCAGTGTTATCATTTGCTGAAAATATTCAACTGCTGTGATTCTCCGTTTCTTCATTCACGAAATACTGATAAGAAAAAGGAAAATACCTTCATCATTGGGTCGCTTTGACAATTCCAGGAGATTATGCATTTAAAATACTTACTCCCTTGACTGATCTCTAGAAAGCATTCAGTCATGTGAGACATTGTTGTTGAGTGTTATTATTGTCATCTATTGCTTTGGAATATTTGTGAAATGTTACTATAGTAATAATTTCCATTACTTTTTATCAGTATTGCTAGTTTTAAAGAATTTGGCTTGTATTTTTCAAAATGAAACTTTGAGTTGCAAATGGACAAATCACCTGAAAATCTATTCTTCTTATATATGCAGAATTATTCAATTTATGAGCAGCCAAATCAGCCTTTTGAGACTTCGAAATGCTTTTATTTATTCCTCTATTTAAGCTATTCTTTTTGAAAACAATAACCATACCAATTAAAATTATTTTTCTTTTTTTCTACCACTTTCCCTTTAGTACCCCTGTTCTTATTCTAGGTTTTGCTGTTTGTTGCCTTATAAAATGCAGCAGAGTTGAGTGATGCACGTTTCTGTGAGAAAGCAGTGGGAAGTTGAGAGGAAAACTGCTTAAATAATGGTTATGATTTTTATCAGTTGTGAAATACATGAATCGTCTTTGCAAAGAATTTGCAAAATTACAGGAGAGAAATAATATGCAGTGTCTACTTCACTCTGTATGTGTGTGTACATGTGTTTCTCTAGGAAAAACAAAATCTGTGCTATACTTCTGTCAACTTCCATCTGTAAGTTAATGTTGAGATTTTGACTAAAACTTTCCATCAAGGAGTGGAGATATGAGAAGGAGAATGTCCACTGTATTTGAATGTAACCCCTTGCTTTTAGTGATGGCCACAAAATGCAGAGCAGATTTCCTTGCTAAGTCTTCCCTTCTGGTTTCTTTTTTGCAGTTCTTTCCTCTTAGAGAGTTGAGCTGACATGCCACAAGCACAGTAGTAGGGTGGCCTGCAGACAATGGCCAGATCACTCTAGGAATGAAGACCAGATGTACAGATCTGAGTGAATCCATGAAGATTGGGGGAAATGATTGTTTTGGCTCAGACTTTTCCTCCCCACCCTATCCTGTCAGATATCAGTAGAAGATAGTTCAAGCCACTTGTACAACTGAAAATGCCTCGAAATTTGTAAACTCTGTCCCTCAATATAGATTGTGTCCTGGTGAATAAAACATGTATATGGTCTTCAGGAAGCAAGTGGTGGCCTCTATTAGCCCACAGTCTTCTGATGCACCATCAATCCTTGAGCTAGTTTTAACTTTTAATGGTTAGTTACTTTCAAGGGTTCCCAGAGTGTTCAAGTCGCAAGGATGTTTGAGGAGAGAAAAGGAGTTAGGTGAAAAGAGTGCAGGCTGAAGACTGAAGCAGACTCTGGCAGATTTCTAACCTGCCCTTGATAGCTGCTTGACCTTGAGGAGTGACTTAAGTCACTCAGCCACACTTTCCTAATCTGTGAAGTGGGGGCAACACTGCAAAACTTAGAGAGTGACTCAAAATCTTAAACGAAATCCTGCAGTGAAAGCACCTGGCTCAAAAAAGTAGGCGATGACTATATCCATTATTATTGAAGAAATATAATCGGATATATTAATAATTTTAGTAAGTGCAAAGAGGAGCTAAGGAGCCTCTTGATGAGGGTGAAAGGAGAGTGAAAAAGCTGGATTAAAGCTTAACATTCATAAAACTAAGATTATGGCATCTGGTCCCATCACTTCATGGCAAGTAGATGGGGAAAAAGTGAAAGCAGTGACATTTTTTCTTCTCAGGCTCCAAAATCACTGCAGCTGGTGAAATTAGAAGATGCTTGCTTCTTGGTAGGAAAGCTATGACAAACCTTGACAGCGTATTAAAAAGCAGAAACATCACCTTGCTGACTTTTGTAGTCAAAGCTATGGTCTTTCCAGTAGTCATGTAGAGATGTGAGAGCTGGACCATAAAGAAGGCTGAGCACTGAAGAATTGATGCTTTCAAACTGTGGTGCTGAAGAAGACTCTTGATAGTCCCTTGGACAGCAACGAGATCAAACCAGTCAATCTTGGGCTTCCCTGGTGGCTCAGTTGGTAAAGAATCTGCATGGAATGCGGGAGACCTGGGAGACCTGGATTCAACCCCTGGGTTGGGAAGATACTCTGGAGAAGGGAACGGATACCCACTCCAGTATTGTGGCCCGGAGGATTCCACGGGCAGTATAGTCCATGGGGTCACAAAGAGTCGGACACAACTGAGCGACTTTCACTTTCCTAAAGGAAATCAACCTCAAATACTCTTTGGAAGGACTGATGCTGAAGCTCCAATACTTTGACCACCTGATGTGAAGAACTGACTCATCGGAAAAGACCTTGATTCTGGGAAAGATCGAAGGCAGGAGGAGAAGGGGACAATAGAGGATGAGATGGTTGGATGGCAATACCAGCTTGATGGACGTGTGTTTGAGCAAGCTCTGGGAGTTGGTGATGAACAGGGAAACCTGGCGTGTTGCTGTCCATGGGTCACAAATAGTTGGGACTTGACTGAGTGACTGAACTGAACTGAACTGAAAGTTGAATTGCCAGTGTACTTCATGGTCCATTGTAGCCTATTTGGATAACTTTTCTACAAAGTTTGTATGAATGTGTTGCTTGTGAACATCACAGATATCTGAGGAGTTAATTTGTGCAATAGTTGTTTACACACATTGACAAGGAAACTGTTTAGTGTCACCACTGGAGTGTCTTGAATTCTTTTGTTTATATGCAGGATTATATGGATAAAGCTTTCAATGGTGGATTTTGAGCTGTGTGGTCCCCAAAGGGGCACTAAAAGTTGTGCATGTTCAAAATATTTCCCATTTCCCAATACTTACCACTTAGTTGGGAAAGTAAGAAATGTACTCAAAACACCACCCTGAAGACTTGATGGGAGGAGAGTTCATTTTTGGCTGAAATAATGCAAGTTGTGCAAGGTTAAAGTTAGTGTTTTGTTTTTTGTTTTGGTCAAAATAATCAGATTGGTAAAACTACAGCGATAGGTCTGGGGAAGATTGCCAACTCAAATCTATGTCTGAGCATACCTAGAAGGATATGTGAAAATACCATCCTATCCCCAATTCTGTACAGTTAAGGAAGTAGGAAAAACTCAAGTCTATATGAAATTACAGACTTTTTCAGAAAAGAAATATTAGGTTTAAATTGCAAGAATCTAGAGATTCTGAAATGTACTTGGGAAATGGAACTGTAATTGTTAAACTCATTTCGTTTACTGAAGCAGTGGTAGAAATGAAAATCATAAGGTGACTTTGGATCCCATCTAGCAGAAAATGGTAAGTTTAATGCAGGGACAGTTGACTTCAGAAACTGTTGTTTTAATAATTCACAAAGACTCAGAGTCATGGTAGAGGAACATTTCAGAAATTCTTATGAAATGCTGCACAAGGAGGGGACTAGAACTCTTTAAAACTAAATCTGAAAATTGCAGCTGTGTATTGTTACTTCTGCCTGCGGCTTGCAATGAATATATAGAAAGTTTTTAGAGTCTCCTTTCTTTTACTAGGTCTTCTGGAGAGGCAGCTTCAGGGTTTACAAAGGTGCCACCAGGCTTGGCAGTGCCCACTGATCTATTACTTTAATAGAGGTCTAAGTGTGTTCTGTCTTAATTACTTGGAAGCTTACTTTTTTTTTAATTAAAAAAAAAAGATAAAAGTTTTAAAGTCAACCTAATCATTAAAAAATAGCTCCTAGAGTATCTATGTTCTCATTTGCTTTTTTTTTTAAATTTTTTGAAATTTTAACTGAAAAGTACTTTCATGACCCATTGGTGATACAATTAACTCAGCATTTGATTCCTTGTCATTAGCAGGGCTTAGTCTTAATTAGTCCCAATTTCTGTGTGTAACTATTTGCTCCAAATAGATGATCGCTATCATTGTTTAGTCGCTAAGTAGTGTCCAACTCTTGAGACCCCATGGACTGTGGCCTGCCAGGCTCCTCTGTCCATGGGATTCTCCAGGCAAGAATATTGGAGTGGGTTACCATTTCCTTCTCCAGAAATATATAATAAAGGCAGCTAATAATGATATATACAGACTCATTTTCAGAGATAGAAGTGTGTTGAAATAATTTTAAATGTCTCAATGAAAAATGGACGTTGTTGTTGTTCAGTCACTAAGTTGTGTCTGAGTCTTTGCGACCTCATGGACTACATCATGCCAGGCTCCCCTGTCCTTCAGTATCTCCTGGAGTTTGCTCAAATTCATATCCATTGAGTCGGTGATGCTATCTAACCATCTCATCCTCCACCATCCCCTTCTCCTTTTACCTTCAATCTTTCCCAGCATCAGGATCTTTTCCAATGTGTCAGCTCTTTGCTTCAGGTGGCCAAAGTATTGGAGCTTCCACATTAGCTGAGAATTTGATATAGAAACAATGTTGTGGTATGCAAAGTGAGTGCTGCTTGGATTAATTATTAAAATGAGTAAGGACAGTAGGTTGGAGG